GAGGAGGAGCAGACGCAGCCGGGCCGCCGCCGTTGGAGGGGTCCCCAGCTGCCACTCGCTCCCTCGGCCGTCGCCTTCGAGGTCAGCCCTCCCGCGGGGGTCTTCGCTCTCTCCTCCCGCCGCCGCCGGCTCTCGCTCACTGCCGCGATGGGGCTCCTGGACTCGGAGCCGGGCAGTGTCCTGAACGTGGTGTCCACGGCGCTCAACGACACGGTGGAGTTCTACCGCTGGACCTGGAGCATCACAGGTAAAGCCGATCGCCGGCTTCCCCATCCTCCCCTGGCCCTGCGGGAGACGCCAGCCCCCGGCTGCGGAGCGCCCTTACCCGGGCCCTAGAGCTCCCTGCCCCGCTGCAGCTGTTCGGAAGCTGCGGATCAGAGGAGGCGCTGGGGCGCGGGGACCGCGGGGACCGCGGTCGGGCACTGGTTAATCTGCTCTGAACGTTAAGGCCTCCCCCTCCCCCCGACGCTTGCACGGTTTTCCTCTGAGCTTCCACCATCTCTCATCAGCTTCTCGGATGCAGGAGCTGACATGTCAGATGGAACCTGTGCTGCCGAGAGCTCTTTGCAGGAACCGCCCCACCGTATATTCCCACTTTTCCAGATCTCATCTGACAGTTCTAACTTATGCACAGGATTGGTTTTAACATTTAGTAATATTCCATACGGAGAGATGGCTGGGGGTGGGGGGACTCCAGTAGTAGCTGTCTTTTTGCTTCTTTGGGCTCCGGGTTGCTTTGACGCAACCTGCTTGCTAACCTGCTAATATTTTATCTAGCTCATCCATCTGTACTGTAATTTGGAATGAAAAGTAAAAAACAAAACAGACAAACAAAACCCCCTCACTGTTTGGCACATTGAACCTTAGTATTAGTTTCTGAGACGTTTTCAACAGCAAATATGTTTCAAGTAATTGTCTATAATGGTTTTTGCGCAGTGCAGTCTGTGAGAGGGGGTGGCTAAAACACCGGAAAAGAAATGTCTTTAGGAAGGGGGTCTCTACAGCAACACCTAGAGGTTGTCCCAGAAGCCTACATATATATAGTTTTCTTAAAATCAGCAAACTTTTACCTTTAGCTGTTGGAATTTGACAGGGCCGTCAGTTGGTTGATTTATGCAGCTCTCCTTGCAGAATCAATTGTGATTTTTTTTTTTTTACATTTTACCTTTTTTTTTCAGTTGCTTCAACTGCTTTTGGTTTTAAGGCTTTTAAAAGTTTTCCAAGTAAAAATGAGGCTAACAGGATTTTAGAAATGATCTTATGATTTAAAATTTTTTAGTGCTTTTGCAGTATTGCACTGCATCCCAGCAAGAGAGGAAATTAACGTTCCATGTTATGACTCTGCCTTCCTTCCCTAGAAATGAAAATATATTCCTGTAGTTTTGTGTTTGTCATTAGAGTAAATGGAATAATTGTTACAGCACGAATTCAGTACTCTGCATGGGATATATGTTGTGGAGAAAATATGTTGCTAGAATTATTTCTGGATGAGACAAAATGATTCTTTGACATTGATATGGCTTTAATTTCTTTAGGAAAGTGTTCTTTTTCATAAGCTCTAAAGTTTGACACTGAGAAGTAAGCAATTTGATTAGCCATTGCAACTGAAAATGGTAAAAAGAGTTTAAATTGAGTTTTTCCTTTTTAAGTCTCTCTTCTATGTACTGCTACACTGAGGTTATGTTGTACCTATGAAGGCTGGGAAAGATGTACCCTTCCCTTCATCTCTGAAGTGATTTTGGTTTTTTAACATTGCATCAGGGTTTCCCATTACACAATCGTGCAAAGCTAAACATCAGACAAGCTCTATGACAGGTAATTGCACTTTGCATACTTTAGAGTTCATACATCGTCAAGGTTCTCCAATCTCCACATAGCCAGAGCCACACCTAGGAGTTGTCATTCCTGTCTATCATTCCCTTCCTAGCTCAGAGCTTTACCATCTCTTGAGTCTCAGAGAGAATTGAGAGCAAAGATAGAATATACCTTTCTGTGATGATTCTTTTCTAATGATGTTCATGTAAAAAACATCATGATGAAATAGGAAATTTGTGTGGTTGCCCCATATGAAAGCTTGCTACTCGCCTGCGAAGGCATATGAACTAATATAATATTGTGTGCCGAGCCTCAGGAGTGAGCAGTAGCTGCTGGGACACAAGCAAGTGACCTTTTACAAACAGATGGGAGGGAAGCTTTTCACCCATGCTCTGGCTATCCACTTACGAAACCTGAGACTGCTTCCTTGCTTTCTGTAATGAGCTACCTAGTGTAGGTAGATGGTATTTCTTAACTAACTTAGGGGCTTAGTGGGATATAGTCTGTTCTGTCTTGCTGCTGTGTAAGGAGGAATATTTTTTCAGGTTCAGATAGAAGCCTGTTGTGTCCCTTTTCCTTTCATTGCCTCATCCCTTTTCTTTGACTCGTTCGCACTGCTCCAATTCCAGGAGAATCTTGTCTCACTATAATGTCATGAAAATTATAGTGAGTTTCAAAGTAGAAAAGTAACTTATTAGATGAGGCTGATGAAAAAGTTGATGAATCAGAAGTTTGGAAATGGAAAATAAAACTGGGTGGAGAGAGGAGATGGTCTTGAGAAATAGTGATGAGCATTGTGAAAGGATGCAAAATATTTAGGGAGAGCAAGAAGTGAGGGAGGCTCTGTGCTCTTGAATGCTTTCATTCCAAGGACTATATGATTCTATCTTTCTGTTTTTTTTAGTTCATTAAATATTTCTCTCCACCAAGGTTTCTACCCAAGTGTAAATAATGTATTATCTACTTTGGTGGTCCAAGATATATATTTGATGATCCAAGATATTTGTGTCCTAGGGCAAATAGTTTCTGCAAAAATATCATTTTGAGCTATTATATCAAATGGTGCTATTTAATAAAACATATCTAAAGCATTGTATAACAACTGGGCTTTTCAACAGCACATATCTAGCAAATATAGAATATGGCCCCTAGTGTATTAACACATAAAATGTTACTTTTACTTTGCACACTGGAGTTAAAACTTTGAAAGAGCTGTACTTTTAGAAAACAAACAAAAAATTTCTTTACCTCCCTATATTATATTTTTAGATAGTTTGAAAAGAAAGTTAATATAGGAAAGTATAGACTGAGACTGATATGAGACTGATATGGCATTGTGTTTATTTTTTTCTTCTATTTTTTTTTTTTTTTTTTACTTTATGAGTACGTTAAAATGATTAGAACTGGTATCCTAGACTCAAAGTGAATATCTAATCAAAGAAAAGCATATGTAATTTTTTTAAACTGATGAATCTAAATATTACCCAATCTGTAAATACCCAACTTATCTATATCATCCATTGTATTCATTTATTATTTTAACAAATACTTATTAGTAGCCTTTTGTGTAACTGACACGTAGGATAAAAACATCTTGGAGAGTTAATAGTCTGCATGCCCACAGTAAGGCCACCATATTTCTTTTTGACCTCATGTTTTTAAATGGCCATTGTCATGGAGTATGTATGTAAATGCATGTGTGTATGTGTGTGTATATGTATGTGAGTGTGTAGGTGGATGGTTTGCATTGCTGTCTGTCTGCAGATATAGTACCTCACATTTTGATGAAAAAATTGTGTCTACCCGGGAGTCGAGGTTAGAGCCTAAAAGAACAGCCTAGCTGGGTCCTTAAATTCACTTTGGAGGGGCAGAAGGGAGAAGGGGATAATGGTACAGGAGGAAGAAGGATGATGATGATGAAGTTTGGAAACTAGGCTTATATAATCAGTCTTTCTTTTCACGTGACATGCCTTGTGTAGGCACAGTACTTGGCTCTGGGGACACTTGGTCATTGCCCCCATGCAGTTTATGAAGTCCAGAGGGAAATTGCCATGGTCTGAGGGCAGTGTGATCTGTTAGTCAGGCCTAGCAGAGGTCAGAAAAGTCTATCTATACTCTTCTCATCTTTACTTCTACCTGTACTGCAGTCTTGAGTTGTAACAAGAATATTCAAGCTCTGTTTTTAGAATATTTTAGCTCTTTTGTCATGTGAAGTCGATAAGGATACTGTTGGAGACTACTTGGGTAAGTAGACTAAGGAAAAAGGTGTCAAAAACTGAAAATCCATGGAAACCGGGAGTGTACTTAAGGGTTAGTGAGTCATCTAGTTTGCTGAGACTGGGGCCTTTTGGGAGGGAACATTTAACTTAATGTAAAAAAGGTGGCTAAAAGCAGGTCTGTGCTTTTAATGAGGTTCTAGAGTTATCCTTCTCCAGTAACCTCCCCGAAGCCTCTTAAGAGGTCCATGCCATTATAGGGTGATTTTTTGGTTTGTTTGGTTCTTGTTTTTTCCTTCACTACAGTCTGGTGTTTGGTGGCAGATTCCTGGACTTTAATGACAGATGCTCTTGTCTGTTTCCCAAGGGTGTATAGCAGAAATCCTATCACAGATAGAATTCCAGGAGGGTAAAACAATGCAGAGTCAGAAACTGGTGTCAGGACACAGTTTTGAACAGTTAGATTCTTTGGCTTCGGGAGAAAAGATTTTAAGAATTACACAAATAATTATATTAGACAATACTTTTGTGATCTTAAGAGCCACAAAGAAGTTAGTCATCCTTTTAAAATTCAATTTGCTTTACTTTTTTGTCATATGATAATGTCATTAGCAAATGATTTAATATTATTAACATAAATATTATTTTGGATTTGTGTCACTTATTATATTGAATCACTTATTTTAAATTAAACATATTAGCCCATAGAGAAGAATTGTGCAACAGAATTTGTCTTTTCTCACTTTAGATAACTCCTTTCATTATCAAGACATTTCTCCTGTTAACAAATTAAGGAGCTATTTTAATTTCCCTTGGAATGAGAATGTATCAGAATATATTTTTAAAAATTATATGGGTTTGGACTTTTAGAAAAGAGAAGGGAGGAAATACATGTTTCAAAACAGTTTCCAAATTTTCTTTCTATCCTGGTCAGTCTTTCCTTGCCCACAGACCTGCAGCTCTAGCCAACTTGGAAAGCTCACCCTTGAGTAAAATGTGTGCATGTCCAATTTTATGTTTCCTGTCATACTGTTCTTTGTTTTTACTGTTCTTTCCCCCTCTACCTCTACAGATGGATTTTCATCAGAATCCAGCAGAGTTTCCCTCCTTCATAAAGCCTTTCTTGGCCATGGTACCCTGGAACTTTCATTCCTTCATTTGATCCCATTGCCTTTAGCAATTTCTCATATACTTCCAGTGCCATTCTTTCTGTGAC